CTTCTATTAACCCTTTCCAGGACCTCCAGCCCTTCAGTATTACTGCCCTGACTGATTGTCTTTACTGTAAGTCAGCCTCCAAACATATTTTAGAAACGTTTTGACAAATAATTGAACAGCAGTCTGATTATGTAATTATTGTAAATATTTTGTACTTATTATTACTTACTTATTTCAACCTCCAAACATCTGTCAGAAATGTTCTGACTCACAATTGAGCAATATGCAATTATTATTACTTATGTAATGAACACCAGTATTGATACTCTGATCAGTGTATTATGATTCTCAGCAGCAGCAGACCAATGGTCGTGTCTACAATAGTGACTAGTTGACCAGTCTGTAGCTCTGAGCAGTGGGACTCAGATCACACAGAAGACCTGTCTGTGTGTGATTCCACACCAGCCCTGGGATTCAGCGTCTCTCACGGAGAGTCTTATAAATATACAGTTAAACAGAATCTGATAACAGTTATATAGATAATTAAATCATCAAATAGGTTGAGTAACTGAGTGCTTGAGTGGAAATAAAACCAGGAGATGCACTTCTACCTCCAGGATCAGGAGTCTAATCCTCCTGGCTTCTATTCTGTGGAGATTCGTGTAAAACGCTTAAAAGCGCTTATTACAGTGACTTGTGCTTTTTCTCTTCTGCTCTACGGGAGTACGCTATACGCTATACAACGCATTAGTCTGTGAAGTAAACTATTTTTTTTGTTTAATGAATTTAATTCCCGTCTGTCGCTGTACTTCTCCAACTGTTATGAATCGCTTCTCTTCACAGCCCGGTGTGTTTTTTTTTGGAGATGTTATATCTGTAAGAAAAGCCCCCCAGGCTCCGGACTGGAGTCTCCTCCAGCGGAGACGCGTCCTGCTCTGTCAGAAAGAGCGCTGTGACGTCACAGACACCAGCCAGAGCGCCGGGATCAGAGAGCGAGACCGCTGGAGGCGCGCAGAGCGCACGGAGAGTTATTGATCACTTATCTATCGACAACCAATGAATTCAACTGAATAATCGATTAACTTCACCGATTGGTGAGTACTGATTCTTTTCTTGACCCTGGTTTAAAAATCTAGAAAACAGTCAATACAGCCTGTATCGATCAATAAGGAATTGTATCCTAGAGCTAGAAAAGTATATTCCTAGTTGATAAATTTGTGTAGGCAACTGTTTACAAATCATAAGTATGGTAACCACAGCAACACGTGCCACATCACTGTGTCCGGCTAGGTCTCGACTTTGTCACAAAGAGTTGCGTGACGTCACGGACAGCAACTAGTACTAATGCTAGTGTATTCATGTTAATATTAGTGTGAGTACAACTTGTAGTTTTAATATTAATGCCAGTGTTCATGTGAGTATTAATGATGATAGCGCTACTGATTTTTTAATGCTAGTATTTATATTAATATTAGTGATAATTATAGAGTTACTGTTAGAGTATTTACACTAGTCGTCATGTTAATTTTAGTGATAGCATTACTGTTATTAATAGTATTAGTAGTGTAGTAGTAGTTTGTGTCAGTTTTAGTGGTGATGACGATAGTGTAAGTCTTAGTGATAGTGTTACTGTTGTAATGTTAGTGGCATTTGTGTTAGTGTTAGTTATAGTGTATTATTATTAGTGTATTAACAGTGTTAGTGTGTGGGTGTGTGTCTGTTATACATGGGGGTGACCAAACTTGCCCAAACTTATATTTGCCCAAACGTGTTTATTTCTGCTGAAAATACTGTCCCATCAGATCATTAAGGAGACGATTATTATTAATCAAATTATTAATCTATAATTATATATATATATTAAGGAGATATATTTGCTATATATGTACATCCTGACATTTGTATATGTGTGTCTCGCCTCAGGATGCTGAGAGCTGTAAGTCTGTGAGCATGATGTGTCTGTGAAATCTGTCAAAAGTTTGCTCACAGCAGGGTACTGTGATTGCTGGGAGACCAGAGGCAGGGCCTTGTCCTCCTAGAGAAGACCCTCTCAGTTTTCT